TGAACAGATGCAGCAGCCAAGGGAAACTCTCTGCTCCTGGCTCAAAGAGAATGTTTTCTATTTGTGTAGGATTCTTATTGAAATATTTTATTAGATCAAAGATAGTTCTGATGGGGCTGGGGATTTAGCTCAGTGGTGCCGCTTCCTGCCTTGCAAGTGCAAGGTCCTGAGTTTGATCCCCAGTACCAAAAAAAAAAAAAAATCCCAAAGATAGTTCTGTTCCTATCTTAGTCTCCTGAGAGCTCCTTTAAGTCATGAACAGCTACTGAATTCTATTAAATGCCTTTTCTGCATCTATTGTCATATTTTTGGCCTGAATTTGTTAATGTGAAGAATTGGATTTATTGATTTATAAACTTTTCATTTAAAAAATAATTCCAAATAAAAATCTGTAGTAGTATCCATAGCTGACATATGCCTTCACCCAGATTCCCCTAGTTGGTTTTTGTTTTTGTTTTTTTGAGGCAAGGTCTCCTTTTGTAGTCCAGGCTGGCCTCGAACTCACAGTGATCCTCCTGCCTCAGCCTCCCAAGTACTGGGACTACAGGCGTGTGCCACCACGCCCAGCACCCCTAGTTGGTATTGCCTTATCCTTCTCTCCTTTTCTCACACACACACACACACACAAATGTAGAATGGCTATGTGATGTCACATGCATACTGTTATGGCTTGTGTTTAGATGTCCCCCCAAAGCCTCACGCTTTATCAGAGGTGGCTAAATCTAGAGTGTATGGGACTAGGCTCGAGGGCACTAGGATTAAAGGCATGAGTGCTACTTCCCTAAGTAGTCTGAATAAGACAAAAGGACCAGAAAGATGCTGTTAAGGTCCCTTGTTGCTTTTTTTTTTTGGTATGGGGAATCGAACGCAGGATCTTGCGCTTGCTCGGCATGCAGGGCACCACTGAGCCACATCCCCTGTGCACTTGTTGCTTTTGCTACTTTATGCATGTCATGCAGTTTCTCTTCTGCAATGCCTGTTTGCCATCCCTGCTTTGGACTCAGCCGATTATGGACTGAAACCCCTACAAACTGTGACTTAAATAAACCTTTCCCCCTTTAATTTTGGGTGTCGGGTATTTTGTCTCAATGAGAGAAAAGTAACTAACACACACACTCCTTCATACTTCTTGAGAACTAAGTTACAGGGCTGGGTGTGATGACATGCACTTGTGGTCCTAGCTACTTGGTAGATTGAGGTGGTGGATTGCTTGAGCCCAGGAATCTGAAGCCAGTCTGGGTAACATAGTGAGACTCTGTTTTCCCTTTTCTCAAAAAGAGAGAATTAAGTTGTACACCTGATGTCCATTACCCTGAACACCTCGGAGAATATTCCTGAAGTCAAGGGACTCTTATCTGTAACCATAATTTGACCTCTGAAATCAGGAAACTATCTAGTGTCCCTGTCTAATCCTCAAACCCCATCTGATTTCCGTATGCCAGTGATGTGCTTTACGGATCCAGGACCATCCTGTCTGTGTGGTGACTCACTTACTTTGTCATTGTTGAGACACAATGCCTGACAATTTAAATTCCACAATTTAAAGGAAAGGTTTATTTGGGCTCACAGTTTAGTCCATGGTAGGCTGACTCCAAAGAAGAATGGCATGACAGAGGGGCAAAGCAGAGAACAACTGCTTGAAGCACGGTGGACAGGAAGCAGAGAGCAAAGGGAAGACAGAGGAGGAAGACAGATAAACACTTCCAGGTCAGGTCTCCAGTGACCCTCCTCCACTGGCCAGTCCCCGCCTCCTAACAGCAGCCAGCTGTAGCCCCCAAAGTCTAGTTCCCTTCCTCAGGCCCGCCTTTGAGCACATTAGGGTCTGGGGGGACATGCAGATCCAAACTGTGGTGTCTATCTTTCCTGTGTCTGTTCTTGCCCCCAGTCTGTTACTGTACTCACACCTACCTGCAGCTGACAACTCAGTGTAGTGTGCCCGTTGTCCCCTGGGTTTGGTGCATATAGGGCAGGTGGGCCACGAAGGTGAGGCTATGGTTTCCATGCTTAGCCTACCGTATCAGGAGGCTGAGATGCTGCCTGCCAGGCATGTTGCCGCGAACACAGAGCAGTACATTTGCAGTTGCTTGGTGCAGTGTTCTGTGTGGCAGTTCAGTTGATCATGAACAGCTGTGAAACCTGTCCTATGATTGTGGACATACCTGCTTCACTTTTCTTTCTTCTTGCAGTACTGAAGACTGAACCCTGTATTGAGCTACACCCCCAGCCATTTTTTGAGACAGGATCTTGCCTAAATTGCTAAATTGCCTATGCAATTTACAGTTCTCCTGCCTGAGTCTCCCAGAGTGCTGGGATTACAGGATGGTGCCACCATGCCTGGCTTGGTTCTCCTTTTAGGTGCCACTTTGTGCTGTATCTTGTCATCTGTGTATCTATGTGTATGTCACTAGGTGTCTGGGGATGTGGGACTTCTACATCTTCCTGGTGAGCTGCAATTCATTACGGTGAATTGAATCTTTACTCATAAGTTCATTTTTCTAGGAGTCCACTCTAATATTATGTGAACGCAAGTTTTCTTTCATTGGCAAAGCTGCAACGTGCATTGACACCAGAGATGCTGAGGTTTTGGGGTCCTGAGGCAGGCCTGTGGGTTTTGGGTGAAGGCTGGGTAAAGCACAGCTGCCGGGGAGGGACAGAGTGGGCCACTTGGGGTTCTGACTCCAGCTCCTCATCCTCTTCTCCCCACCTGCCCCTCTTGGGTAGGTTGGCTAGGCCACATTGCCAGTGCTGTCCACACTTAAGCATGGGCCTCCTGCCCTAGGCCCCGGGCACTGAGCTGCCTTGCCCTTGTGCAGGGCCTCCAGGGCTCCATGTGGAGATGAACAGTGCACTGCTGGCTGTGGGGCCTCTTCCTGGCCCAGAGGGGTCATCCTCCATCCTCTCGTGAGAGCAGGTATGGGCTGGTGAGAGGCTGATACGGCCCACTCCGTGGCTCAGCGACTGCCCCTACCCCTCCTGAAGGCCACTGTGGCCTGCTGCCCTCGCTTCCCAACTGCTAGATGTTTGCCTGACCCCCAGGGCCTCGGGAGGCCACACACTTGACACTTAAGCAGATCCAGCAGGATCCACAGTTCAAGGAGTGGGAGGGAGGCAGGCTGCCCACTTCAGCCGTGGAACTCGTTTGTCCCTTAACCTCTGCCCTCCGTGTCTTCTGTCAGAGAGAAATGGGGGCAGCTTCGGATGAGGGCAGGTGCCTCCATCCCACGCAGGAAGGCCCCCTCCATATCTAAGGCTCAGCACAGAGGGGAGAAGAAGCTGATTCTCAAAGCCCCAGCTCCTCCCTGCTACGGGTGGGGAAGGATGCGGCTCATTGTCCCTTCCTCTGCCTGTAGGAGAGACCCTGGCCCGAGCTGGGAATAGGACCCAGGGTCCCCGCGGCGTCTGTCCCTGCGGGCCACTGCTGCGGTCCAGGGGAGCCAACTGCAGCAAGCCGAGTGTGCTGTCTGTTGCCGGTGAGTGGGGTTACTAGCGGCGGGGGTCTGACCCACAGGGTGAGGAGGATGTCAGGGCACGGCGAGCGGGGTGCCTCCAGGCGGGTCCTTGCTGTGGGTCGGGGCGGCCTCTGGGGGTGGGGTAGTGGCCCTGGGATGTCCCGGTCTCAGCGCCACCGGCCCAGAGCTCCAGGCTGCGCAGAACTGTCGCCGCGGCAACCCGCGCTGCGCAGGGGCGGAACAGGGCGGGGCGCACGGGCCCTGTCCTCACAGGCCGGGTCCGGGCGCCGGGACCCGCTCTGTGCCAGGCCGAGCCAGGCAGCGCGCGCCGGGGTCGCGGGGCGGGGTCGGGCGGCCCCGGCGGCGGAGGGCGGAGCGGACAGAGGTTCGGAGGGCCTGACGGCACGCAGCACCTGCAGGTGGCGGGGTAGGTTCGGGCGCGAGTAGCCGTGGGTGGCTGCGGGTGGCGAGGACGGGTTACTGAGCAGGGCCTGGACGACCTCCGCCCTAGGCCGAGGGGATGGGCGGCGAGCTGCCTGGCAAGGCCTGGGGTGCGCTGACAGCGAGGACCAGGCCCCGCGGGGGACCCTCGGTGGGGGAGGGGCGGCCCTTCCCCAGCCCGGACCTCCCTCCTCTCTAGCCTGAGACGGGAGTCTGCGAGCCGGGCACGCAGGGCCCGGAGGACTGGATCCGGGTGTGAAGCCCAGCAGCGGGGCTTCACAGGAGGACCTCCATGCAGGAGGACCGGGAAGGTGTGCCGGGCCAGGTCCCTGGGGTGCGGCCAGGGGAGGTTCCAGGTCCAAGCCGGCTCCCCAGGGACGTGGGGTCTGTCTCATCGCCGGCCCAGAGTCCTCAGCCCTCTGCCGCGTTTGTCGAGAGACTGAGAGAGCGAGGATGGGGCGGCGAGGGTGGAGGTGCAGCGGCGACCTGGCTGTGGGGCCTGGACACAGGCCGGGAAGGACCTTCCTAGCCTGCGGCGCGCCCCACACGGGCTTCCCGAGCGAAGTGCGCCGGCTGGTGGGTGTGAGACACAAGAACGTGGGGCCAGGGAGCTGGAGCGCGGGACCTTGGGGGCCGGTGAGGGTGGGCCAGTAACCCCAGGGACCCCCGCTGGAGGTGTGGGAGTCCCGGCGCGTGGGTGGGAGAATCCTGGGATGCGTCGGGTGCGAGGGCGGGGTCAGGGGCCTTCACGTGGGGGTGTGGTGTCACCAGAACAGGCTGAGCGCCGCAGGGTCCCCTGCGATAGTAAATTTTATGTCTTTGTCTAGACAGGGCGGTCAGTGGGGACCCCAGGCCGGGTTCCGAGAGGGAGGCGGAGCTGGCGGCCGCGGCTCCGGGCGGGTGAGGGCCGGGGCTTGCCGGACTGGGCTGCTCTGGCCGGGTGCGCGGGCGCAGAGAGCGGGGGAGCAAGGAGGAGATGCAGCGGGACCAGACACCCCTGTACGGAGCTGGAGAGCGTGGACGCAGGGAGCGTCCGGGTTGCATGAGGGCGGACAAGGATCCAGTCTAAGGGAAAGGAAGAGAGACCTGCGGGACGGATGCGTCAGCCGGGGAGGGAGGCGGAGGGCTCGGTGGTGACCAGGCTCCGGGTACCCGGCTCCGGGCGCGAAGAAACCACTTCCGTTCCATTTCCTTCCTGGCGCCGCGGGAACTCGGCCTCGGTCCCAGGCGGGGCCGCAGCGCCCCCTGGGGGCCACGCTCCACGATCCAGGTCCGTACGAGCTCTGCTGCCTAGCGCGCGACAGAGGCCGCGGCTCCTCGGCGGGGATAGCGTGCGGCGGGGACACGTGGGGGCGAGCCCGGGTGGCCACACAGTCGCGCCCCTCTAACCAGTCTTCTCCACTCTCCCCAGGTACCAGCTTGCCATGCCCGCGGGCTGAGCGCCGCCGCGCTCCGGGCCGCCACAGGGCCACGTGTGGGGGCCGCGGCGCGTTGGGGCCTTGGCTCCGGCGGCCGACCATGGTGCTGCCGCCCCCGGACCGGCGCCACGTGTGCCTGACCACGCTGGTGATTGTAGGCAGCATGGCTGTCATGGATGCATACCTGGTGGAGCAGAATCAAGGCCCGCGCAAGGTCGGCGTGTGCATCATCGTGCTGGTGGGCGACGTGTGCTTCCTCTTGGTGCTACGCTACGTGGCTGTGTGGGTGGGTGCCGAGGTGCGCACCGCCAAGCGCGGCTACGCCATGATCCTCTGGTTTATCTATGTCTTTGTGCTGGAGATCAAGCTCTACTTCATCTTCCAAAACTACAAGGCGGCGCGGCGCGGCGCAGGCGACCCCCTGGCACGCAAGGCGCTCACGCTGCTTCTGTCTGTGTGCGTACCCGGCCTCTTCCTGCTGCTGGTGGCGCTCGACCGCATGGAGTACGTGCGCACCTTTCGCAAGCGTGAGGACCTGCGAGGGCGCCTCTTCTGGGTGGCACTGGACCTGCTGGACCTGCTGGACATGCAGGCCACGCTGTGGGAGCCACCGCGCACCGGGCTGCCGCTGTGGGCCGAGGGCCTCACCTTCTTCTACTGCTACATGCTGCTGCTCGTGCTGCCATGTGTGGCGCTCAGCGAGGTCAGCATGCAGGGTGAGCACATCGCTCCACAGAAGATGATGCTCTACCCCGTCTTGAGCCTCGCCACAGTCAACGTTGTGGCAGTGCTGGCGCGTGCTGCCAACATGGCCTTGTTCCGCGACAGCCGCGTCTCAGCCATCTTTGTGGGGAAGAACGTGGTTGCGCTGGCCACGAAGGCCTGCACCTTCCTGGAGTACCGGCGCCAGGTGCGCGACTTTCCGCCGCCCACGCTTGCGCTGGAGCTCCAGCCTCCACCCCCGCAGCGCCACGCGCCGCCGCCGCCCCAGCTTCAAGGGGTGGCCGGTTGTCCCCGTGGGCCCTCGCCGACGCGCGATGCGCTGGATACGTGACGGCGCGTGCGCCGGGATGGGATGTGACGGACAGGGTGGGGGCCGCTGCCGCTTCTTCATCTCAGGAATCCCTCAGCCGCGGACTCTTGGCTGCCCGGCGTGGAATGGAGTGCTGCGGAGTGCCCGGGGAGGAAGGGTGTTGTGGGCTCTGGTCCTGCGTGTGCTCGGTACAGAGATAGGGCCACGGGGCCTCTGTCATTTTAAAGACTCGTGTTTACAGTTTCGTATGGAAGTCTCAGTGCGCTGGTTCCTGGTCCCTCTAATATCTATTTGGCAGGGACAAGTAGTGCTTAGGGCGGGAGGCCACGGGGCCCCGGTGGTCCCAGCAGCTTCTGGGTGAGGTACCACTGTCCTGTCCTGACACCTCCTGTCTGACTGCTGCCACCACAGATCCCACAACCCCGACTGCATTGGGGCCCTTTTCCTCACCCCCCTGAGAAGTCCAGCCCCCACTCCCCCCAAGGCCCAGAAGTGTCCCTGGAGCCCCTCCACGGAAACTCCCTTACCATGCCTGTGGGCATTTCTGAACCAGGACTGTCAAGGGCTCCAGTGCCCTTTGTTTCCTAGGCAAAGCTGGCTTACCTTGCCCCAGTGTAGCCCTGCCTCAGACACCTGGCCCCACAGCTCCTGGCCCAGGAACACAGCCTGAAGTCCTCTGCTCCTGACCTCTGCCTGGACTCCCCCTCCCTCCATATGGAGTGTGACCTTTGGGTGTGCAGGCCCAGCAGGGTCGCTGTTGGGTGGAGAGAGTGCTTCAAGAGGCTGCCTGGAAGGCCTTACCTGTGGTAGGTGATGGCCACACGTGTTCCTCAGGCCAGCTGGGGATGGAGCATGTGGAATCTTGTGCCAGGCAGTGTCCCTGTGTGGCCTTTGCTTCCCTGGCGTGCTGGTTGTGTACTGCAGGTGATGGCCTCCCAGCCTGTCCAGTGGCTGCAACAGCTCCGGGGGCGCATGGGGGGTGGGGGGCTCAACCCCAGGGGGGTGTACTGGATGGGACCCAGCAACCTTTGCTTGGGAGTCACCTGCCTTCAGGCCGCTGGTCTTGGGACCTCGTGGAGAGTCTTCTCCATGGCTATAACCCTGTTTTGGTTGGCTGTGGCTAGCTCCTCCTGGCCTTCAAACCACTGCCTGGGCCATACTGCTGGCCACATCCCCAGAAGTGTAGGGTGAGCATCCGAGGGCCTTGGCTCATGACTGGGCACCCATGGAGAGGCACTGCAGCCAGCAAGGTGGCTTCGGGGGGACGGGGAGGTGGTGGGGATTTGTAGGAGGGGCGTGGCCCTGCAGAGGCCAAAGACGGAGTTCTGGGCTGGGGAGTCCCCGGCCTGTGTCTGTGGTAAGGGTAATGGGTGAGGCCTGAGGTCCCGACTCTGTGTGTTCCAGGCTGGACCAGTTGGTGCCCCTGTCCTCTGGAGCTCAGGACCAGCCCTCAGCTTCCTGGCCCTGGGCAGGTTGGAGCAGACAGGAGCAGCCAAGGGACTACAATAGGTCTGAGAAGTTATGGCTCCCCAGTTCCATTTGATTTTCCTTTTCTTCATAATGGTGGTTGGGATGGAACCTAGGGCCTGGGCATGGCAGGCAGGCTGTCCACCCTGAACCATTCCCCAACCTTCACCTCAGAAGGGACCCTGCCACTCATGGGTCTGGGAGTGGTATGGGCAGTGTACCTGTGGGTTGCTCTGCCTGCCAGGCACTGTTCCATGTCAGAGGTGGAACTGACCACCCCCAAGGCGCAGGAGAGGACTTGGGGCTTGGAGACCCCTGACATGTGCACTGCCCACTGCCTTGCTGCCACCCATGCAGGGCCTGGGCCCCCAAGACCTTCTATATCAGCAGTGCCTCCATCGCCCCTCAGTTCCCGTGGTGGTCCTCATCTTTTCTGCGTCTGCTGCTCCCCATCCTGACCTGGCTTAGTGCTTATCTGTCCTCACCTGAATAGATGCAGCATCTTTTTCCAGGACTCAAGTGGGGCTGGGAACAAGGGCTTTTGCATGTTCTCCAGGTTCTTTCCCTGGGGAGGGGGCTCTCCTTTGAGGGCAGGGTGGGGCCTGCTGCATCCCAGCCTTATTAGCTCACATCTTGTCAGCTTGCATGTCCTTTGGCCCGTGCTGCTGCTGCCTGGAGGTGGTGAGCTAGGTGTGGAGGTAGGTGGGAGGCTAAGGGTCAGGGGTGGGGCTTGGTCCCCCAAAGGAAGAACAGGGTATAGTGGGGGTGAGGTGAGTTGCCCAGTGTTGGAGGTCACTGTGTGGGGAGCAATGGTGAAGGGCAGCTGAGGTCAGGGAACCCATGTGGACACCTCAAAGGAGAAGTGCTGGTGAAGAGGGCGCTGGGGACTTGCAGAGGGGCAGGGGTTAGGTGGCGAGCACTTGGGCATCGACTTTGCATGAGCAAGATCAGGGTCGAAGAGGCAGAAGAGGTCCTAGGAGGGGCCACTGTGGGGGTCTCTATGCTCAGGAGATAGCTTTGGGATTAGATGAGAAATCACAGGCACAAGGCCAGATGCATCTAGATCCAGGGCCAGACTGGGAGGAGGAACCCACCTGGGTTGTGGGGGTCAGGTGGGGTGACTCGGAGCTGAGGAGGACACTGAGTTGAGTGCAGTGGGAGTGCCTGCTTGTGAGCCTGCAGGCCACTGAGGGGAAGAGCCCTTGTGAAGAGTGACTGGAGGTGCCTGCTGAGTGTGGGGCCGATTGAGACAGGGTTTGGGGTGCAGAGGCCTTGTCCAGAGGGAGGAGCTGCAGCAACGGAATTGAGTACAGTAATGGCCTTTATGTGACCAAAGCCAAATTGTGAACGCACAGCTCCTGCAGAGGGTGAGAGGAGCCAATTTGCATAGTACTTTTTTTTTTTTGAGAAAAAGGTCTTGCTGTGTGCCCAAGTGGGCCTCCAGTTCTTGGGCTCAAACGATCTTCCTGCCTCAGTCTCCTTAATATTTGGGATGACAGGTGTGCACCACGACTCCCAGCTTGGGCGACATTCTGGATGTCTTACTGGGTAATGTCAGAGGGAGGCGGAGCTCCTGTCTGCTGTGTGTGCAGCACGGAGCCTTGCAACAGGAAGCAGCACAGCTGAGGGCAGAGTGGCAGCTCGGGGGTCACAGGGGGGAGGGGGGAGATGGGCAGTGGCAGGGGATGAGGCCTGGGTCCCCAGGGGGTCCAGGCAGGCTTGAGCTGGTGGCTGGGCATGGCCGGCCGCACCTCCTGATTTCCTTGGGATCACTTATGGCCTGTGGCTGAGGTGGGCAGACTCATCCTTCCTGAGCTTGGCCGGCTTGGTCACTGTGCTCAGGAAAGTGTGTTAATCCCCACAGCTGAGGACTCATGTCTCCCTGGGAGACAGGAAACCCAAGGTGGCCACTAGGGTTTGAAAGCCCGTGTCCCACCAAAACTCATGTGGACACTTAACCCCCTGCGCCATGTTGGAAGGACGGCCGAGGAGGCCATGGAGTCACAGGGGCCCCTACCTCATGGGTGGGATTCAGTGCCTCCCACCGCGTGTCAGTCAGCCTCTGTCCCTACAGAGGACACAGCATCTTGGAAGCCAATAACAGCGCTAACCAGATACCACCAGCCAGTGCCTTGACCTTGGACTTTCGGCTTCCAGAAATGTGAGGAATAAATTTCGCCTGTCTGTGGCATTGTGGCAGCACCCAAAGGGACTGAGACAGTGCCGCTTATCTCTGTGTAGCGCAGGCCTGGACAGGTGGTGTCCCCTGCCCCCCCGCCCCCCTGCTGTCCAACGTCCAGGTCTTGCTTCTTCAGAGCCGGTGGACATTGGGCTGAGGAGGCTGATAGGTGCCTGTGCTGATCTCTGAGGGGTTCTCAAGGCGCCCAGACACACTCGACCCCACTCCCCAGAACACAGAGAGGAAAGGGAGCAGGGAAAGGGCTGCAGTGTGTGTGCTCTGTACCTGGAGGGGGCAAAATGGGACAGCATCAGGGTCCTTGGTGGGTTTCTGGAAGAGTAGGGCTCGGCACCCTGCTAAGGCCCAAGGCTTTAAAAGTGGTTCCTCCCAAGTGGGTGTGCTGCCTGCACTTTCCCATAGCCCCCCCCCGGTGGGAACCATTGGCAGTGAGTTGCTGCTAGACAGGGCTGAGATCCTGAGGGTGTTTGAATTGGCCCTTCCCTGACTCCTTGTGTGGGGAGCACCATCACATCCTTCCAGGACATTTTCCTCGTGGACTCCTGTCCTGTTTAATTTAATTTCTCTACTCACTTGTGCTTTTCTTCTGGAATTAGAGGAATCTGGCCTGTGTTTGGGCCCCAGGTGTCTTTTCTTTAACTGGATTTCAGGTGCAAAGGACCAGAGGGGCATCATTCTTGGCACCATGGTGGGTGGACTTCTGGATTTATTTCTTTTGTTTTTTATTTTTAATACTGTGATAGGCACCCCCCATATGAAACCAAGCTTGATAATAACCCCTCCTGCTTCCCTTGGCAGAGACCCTGGAGAGACAGTCCTTAGATTTCCTTTTGGCACAGTTGTGTGGAATCCACATGCACTCCTGAAATACATACTTTTCTGATTATAGTTTTATTTTCATAACTTTTCTATGAAAAGAGCATCCTGCTGTATATCATCTCCTGTGATTTACCTTTTCACTTCACATTTCACTAAGATTCATTCATATTGTGGCCCGTCTTGGTTTATACATCCTAAGCACCAGTTAAAAACCCGATAGTGAATATCTCACACCTCTAATTCTGCCTGCTTCCATGAATATTTGGGTCACTTCCAGATTCTTACCAATGTGAATAGTGCCTCTGTGATAGTCTTGTCAAGCCTTCTTGTGTTTAGCAAAAGGTCTACCCCAGGGACTGGAGCCTTTGGGGGTGCCCAGGTTTGGGTGAGGTTCATAAGTGAGGATCCTATGGTGGACTTAGTGTTCTTACAAGAAGGGAGGAGCCCAGAGTCCTTTCTCTGTCCACCACAGAAGGACACAGAGAAGGTGACCATCTGCGAGCTGGAAGGGGCTCACAGAAGGCCACCTTGCTGACATCATGACCCATGGAACAGTATCTCCCCCCACTGCCTTTAGCTGTGGCCACCCCACTCAACTTTCTGCCCTGTGAATCTGACCATTTAGGGACCTTGTAGCAGTGGAACCACCCAGCATCTGTCCTCTGAGACTGGCTGCTTTCCTTGGGGACAGAGTTCTCAGGGTGTCCGTGCTGCTGTGCGGCCACACTGTCCTTCCTGAACAGTGTTCCATGGTCTACACACTAT